TGACTTGACCCAATATTCACGTGAAAAGTTACCTTCGTGAACGTGTATTTTTCACCAGTAGTGCTCTAGTAGGTAGTCTGTGGTCCTATTTCAATAGTATTGCAAATTAGGCACTCTCCCAATCATATGAAATTGTATACAATTTTACTATTGGTAAGAGGTCGTATCTCAATAATTATTATTGTGAGATTTGAGAAGCCCATGTTAGAAAAATTACTTTTTTAATACCAAAAAGACCCAACAATTTGATTTGTTCTTAATTTCCTAAAATTTATTAAAAGTTAGATTGGTCCTTTTTTACCTAAGTCCCAGAATTTTTCTATGATGATGCTGATACAAACATTGAAATTTTGAAGCATACAGCAAGACAACAATGCATAATATTTTATTTTGTTAAAAATGTTACTGTTTAATTTAAACAAATTTACATCGGTAATAAGGTACAACTATAAAAGGAATTATTTTTTTTAGGTACCTGCTGTTCAGCAGCTAGGATTATATTGGGTATTTATTTAAAAATTAGTCAATAGATAATTTCTTTTTACCTTATCTATCTTTACTTTATTGTTCTTTATTTTTCATGAATGAAAACTGTCTCATTCGTATTGTAAAAATATGACTTAAAACTATATTCAATACACGGAAAAGGTAATGATAAATTTAATTTATCATGGTATTATATAATTATTATTAAAAAAATTCCCTACTGTGTCATCAAAAACGTTAGGACTCAACATGGATTTCAAATCGATTGTAAGATAATGCAATAGATTGTAAGCAATTTCTAAAAAAAATAACAAAATGTGGGGTCTCACATGGTGATCTATATTTTGTTCAAAAATAGTTTGGCAGAAAATATATGTATGAAAATTATTCGAGCAGAAAAATATTTGACTAGAAAGATATTTTAGTCGAAAAATAATTTATTAGAACCGAATTTAGTTAGAAAATAAGGTATATTAAATACAAATAAAGAGCGCTGTTTAAAAGACAGAAAATCATAGATCTGTAATCTATATTATCAGGTCTATGAGAGAGACCTGATATATAATGTTTAGCGGTTTGCAGATGATATTAGGTAACAGTGTCATCACCTTTATAAGTATTTTCTACCGAATTACTGTAACAAAATATTAAACACCACACTATTTTTCCCCGGAGAGGAGCGCACTGCGCGGACGTTGGCTACGCCTCCGGTCGCCGTTCACCGCCGCCGTTGGCCATGGTAAAATGGTTGCTGTTATTGTTCATTAATGTTTCTGGCAACCGCTGAGTTNATAATGAATTAATTAATACATGATGAGTGAGTGGTACAGGAGTTTGGATAATTCTGATGCTATGGAAGGCACGTTTCAGTCTTCAATTTCTTGTTTTTTCTCCCTATTTTATAATGAATGATCCTTCAGTTGTATTCAGTCCTGTGTTAAACTTTTTAAATTGGTCATAGGTCCATATACCCAGGTATGGTATTCCAGTGTCATTATAGAGCTACTTGTTGCACATGAACCAAGATGATTTAAGGGCTATTTTGAAAAATTTATTTTTATTTGTTTGAAACTTTATTTTTATTAGAGATATGGCGACCCATATTGGACATGCATTTGTGATTATTTTTCTAATTAATAATATACCAAATAATATGTGCAGGTGTATGTATCAGTAGCAACTATTTGATTTGCATTGTAGTAGCTAATCAGGGGATTTAAAATTTTCATTCATGTATTAGCTTGGATTAGTGTAAAATATTAATGTTTTTTAATGAGTTTCTTAGGTATTTAGCTGATAAATCATTCTTATAACATTTAATGGATTGATTATTAATTTTTACTTGAGTTGGGTTTATATATCTCCAAAGAGTAAACATTTTTATTGTTTCACTTTTAGTTTGATTAATTTAGGTGTTGAGGTGTTATTTTGAATTGCTCATATAAGGTAGTAATAATTGGCATGTGGTATGAGTCTGCTTTATATTATATGAAATTTGATGATATATCTCTGTTTAGAGACTGGAGATTAGGGCAATGGTTGATATGTCTGGTTGTTTGCTAGTTTGTTGGAAGGTATGTTCTAGTGAAATATTATGATAATTACTCAAATTCATTTCTGAGTAATTAATTGCCATAAGGTATTGTTTTTAGACAGCCCATATATGGTTTTTTTCGAGTTTAAATCTCTTGAGAGTAAGGTTAGGTTGTTATTGAAAAGTCTAGATATGTCATCTTTTTAAATTTTTTAATTTGGTGAATTGCAGGTTAATACTTACTATTTTTATTTTGCAATTGTCTGTTGAAACCGTTATAACAGTGACTTCCATATTGGTCATTTTAGGGATGGTAGATTTGTGATNGGTTTTTTTCGAGTTTAAATCTCTTGAGAGTAAGGTTAGGTTGTTATTGAAAAGTCTAGATATGTCATCTTTTTAAATTTTTTAATTTATTGAATTGCAAGTTAATACTTACTATTTTTATTTTGTAATTGTCTGTTGATATCATTATAACAGTGACTTCCATATTGGTCATTTTAGGGATGGTAGATTTGTGATATTTGATAGATTTTTTTATTTAGATGGCTACTCCACAAGATGAATGATACAGAAAGATGATACATCCATTGATCTTAAAAGTTTCATTATTTTTAAGATATTGTATTTAGCTAGGTTTAACTTATGTGGAGAAAAAAATTCAATGATAGTTGATTTATTTGGATTTGGTGCTATTTGCATTTTAGTTGATGAATTGGATTTATGTTAATCAATTGTTGACATTGCTGATTGGTATGAATAGGATGTTCGTGATTGAGCTAATAATACATTGTATGTTAAGAAGAATATTTTCAATAAACTGTGAAATTGTTTTTTGTAAGTATTCTACAAAATGTAGAACAGGATATTGTCAAATACCTTGTTTACAATTTCTTAAAGCTTAAGAGTATAACCCTTAAATTAATTTTTTTTAAATTTTTATTAGAAATCATACAATCTGTAAAAATTGTTTACAATGAGCATGTTTGATATTTTTAAAGATAACATAAGTGACTTGACTTCAAGAAGCTACCCAGCGGTAACACTTTTGAATTAACTTAAAAAAAAAGTCAATTTTGTTAGAGTTTACTATCTATCATGATTATTATGCCCATCTTTACCTACCAAATATGATTAATGTTATAATTCTGATTCATACTATACAATATATTTTATATACTGTATCTACAAATTATTATATAATATAAGTTTAAAACTGACATAAAATATATTATTGTATAAACCTAAAATGTGTTTTTATGATATATTAATTAATAATTCTAAAATTTTGTTTTTAGATTTACTGGTAAATTAGAATAAGAAATACAATCAAATGGCAAATATCCAAAATATTGTAATAAAAGAAGAATTTGATGTAATCAATGATTATGAATTTCATAGTATTATTACTATAGAAAATGATCCCATGGAATCATTTTTGTATGAAAATCCAAAACTTAGAAAAAATAAATGGCATATGGAAATGCACACTGGAAGAAAAGTTAACAGTGAAAACTATCCTCTACAGTGAGTATCTCTAAATTCTTTTTCATAATTTCTATTTAAATAAAATATATCCAATTTAATCTTAAATGTTGTCATTCAATATTGCACATGTTTTATACCCACTATATAATTGATAACAAAAATTTATTTTTTTATTTATTACATACATTCTATATTTATTTGAAGTTTACTACATTTTGTATTATTTTGAAAGGGTCAACTTGATTGGAAATTCACCTAACTATCCTTTAAAATATATGATGTAGTTACAGAGAGAATCCTATAAAGAAGGTATACAAATATAATGAAAAATGAATTGTTTTAAAAATGTTAGACTATAAATAAGACAAATTTATCTATTTTTACATATATTCATCATTCAAATTTATGCATTTTTCCCAAGTATAAAGTAACTTGAAAATACTATATTGTCATTACATTGAAAATTTTTTCGTTTTATATTTTATGTATTGATTATATTTAAGGTTATTTATATTTTTTCTAATGGAGAATAGCGATTGGGTGTGGTGAAAACTAATTTTGTTTCATTGTATGGAGAACTGTGTGCTTTCCTAGATATTCACGATGAAATAAACTCTTTGTTGGAGTTTTGCAGTTGAGCATTGGAGAAAGAAAGTGCAAATCACTTTAATCTGAGAGAAGTCTGTTTTTTATGACAACTCAAAAAACTTAATAGTTTATTTTAATTTTTGATTGAGTTGTATTTGTGTTTGTTTTTGTATTAGTGTTCATTTCAAACTTGAAAATTTTATCTATGATATATGTTACACATCAAAGTATGAAAGTATTCAGTAATATGATCTCAACTTGCACAATCCTTACAACAATTTAATTTCTCATGGACAATCTAATGCACAATAGTTTTTTAGAAGTTTAAGTTGTATGACCATTTCCTGAACATTAAGTTGTCTAATCTGACCTGCACTTCTTGTATCATCCAATTTTTTCTTGAAAATAATTAAATTTTGTTCATCAAACCTTTCCAATTTTTCGAGATATTTGTTTGGGTTANAATATTGCACCTGTTTTATACCCACTATATAATTGATAACAAAAATTAATTTTTTTTAATTACATATATTCTATATTTATTTGAAGTTTACTACATTTTGTATTATTTTGAAAGGGTCAACTTGATTAGAAATTCACCTAACTATCCTTTAAAATATATGATGTTGTTACACAGAGAATCCTATAAAGAAGGTATACAAATATAATGAAAAATTAATTATTTTAAAAATGTTAGACTATAAATAAGACAAATTTATCTATTTTTACATATAGTCATCATTCAAATTTATGCATTTTTCCCAAGTATAGAGTAACTTGAAAATACTATCTTGCCATTACAGTTTATGCACCGGCTCTATGATTATTATGCAATTTTTTTTGTTTAACTTAAAAATGTATTGTGCTCTAGGATTATTAGCCAGTACCATTGCCAATAGAGAAGTGGGTGCTTTATTTTTATTTTTTGACTTGCATAAATTTTGCAGAACATATTAGGTTATTTGGCTCGTCTATGACATTTTCATTAATCGAGAAAGGTAGATTTCTTATAATTGCAGTAATATCTATTAGATTCTGAGTAGAGGAAACAAGTTTATGGTTTTACAAAGATTTTTTTTTTATGCAACTTTTCTCTCAGAAATCTTCCTTCGATTTTTAATTGTAGCACATTTTCAAAAAGGAAATCAAATTGAAGAGGTACTCTCAGGAAGACATTTTTGGATTTTTTAAAGAGATTCCCATCAAATCTGAAAAACTGAAAAAAATTATTTCTGTCTTTTTTTCCCTGTGAACAATTTTTCTACAAAGCATTTTCGCTCTGATTTACAATGCTAGCACTTTTTCTGAAAGGTAATCTGACTGGGAAGGTATCTTAAGGAGGCCATTTTTCGATTTTTTGAGAATTTTCCCAGTAAATGTGAAAAACCGGGAGAAAAACACAGTAAAATTGGTACAAATATATTTAAAATAAATATAAAAAAGACAAAGCATCAACTGAACTCTGCTCAGAATCATTTTTTTGTTAACTATGGTTTATCCTTGCTTACAGTTATATATTAAATAACCTATAACAGTGGCTGTACCTGTCCCAATTATCCTTGGACAGCTTTTTTTTCTTTTAATTTATAAGTGTAATAATCATATTTCGGTTAGTAACAGAAGTAATGTATTTGATTGTATATTGATTTTTATATTGTGTACTTTAGCTGTGATAGAAAAGTTATTTTGAAAAAATTTGGATTCATTTGACAGAATTATGAATTTCAGATATTTATTACAAATAATGGATGTATTTTGGATAGTTATCAGTTGTTTGAACGTGTATAATGAAAATGTTTTCGTTTTATATTTATATTTTATGTATTGATTATATTTAAGGTTATTTATATTTTATCTGTTTCTATTTTGTCTAATGAAGAATATCGATTGGGTGTGGTGAAAACTAATTTTGTTTCATTGTTTGGAGAACTGTGTGCTTTCCTAGATATTCACAATGAAATAAACTCTTTGTTGGAGTTTTGCAGTTGAGCAGTGGACAAAGAAAGTTCAAATCACTTTAATCTGAGAGAAGTCTGTTTTTTATGACAACTCAAAAAACTTAAAAGTTTATTTTGATTTTTGATTGAGTTGTATTTGTGTTTGTGTTTGTATTAGGGTTCATTTCAAACTTGAAAATTTTATCTATGATATATATTACACATCAAAGTATGAAAGTACTCAGTAATATGATCTCAACTTGCATAATCCTTACAACAATTTAATTTCTCATGGACAATCTAATGCACAATATGGCCATTTCCTGAACATTAAGTTGTCTAATCTGACCTGCACTTCTTGTATCATCCAATTTTTTCTTGAAAATAATTAAATTTTGTTCACCAAACCTTTCCAATTTTTCGAGACATTTGTTTGGGTTATAAACATCAATCAATTATTGATCAATTTCAGTTGAAGGATAGTTTGAAAATTAAAAAAATGATTGATGGTGCTGGTTTTTTCTTTTGTGTAACTTAAAATTGATTTTTAAGTTTTCTGTTAAATAGCTGACAAAACAATAAACTATAATATTCAAAATATATGGACTACCTAGTTTATTTCCAAACTTATTAATGTTGGGATTATAGATTCTCATTTTAATATCTGATATATTAAGTGTAGGGTATTTAATATAAATTCAATTTTAAAACTTTTCAGAATTTTGAGTACCTCTGAAGAAGAACCGAGTACACAAACAGAAGAAATACAAAAAGAAATGTTGCAATGTCCCGTGTAAATACTGGAGAGAAACCATTTAAATGTGATGTTTGTAAAAAATTATTTACTCTATTGTCTACTCTAAAGCAACACAAGTTAATTCATACTGGAGAAAAACCATTTAAATGTAATTTTTGTGAAAAATCGTTTAGACATAAATCATCTTTGCTGAAACACATAAGAATTCATACTGGTGAAAAACCATATGAATGTCTCGAATGTGGTATTTCATTTACACAATCATCTAATTTAGAGCAGCACATGTTGATTCATACGGGAGAAAAAAAATTTAAATGTGATGTTTGTGAAAAACCATTTACACAATTATCTAATTTAAAAAAACACAAGTTGATTCATACCGGAGAGAAACCCTTCAAATGTAATTTTTGTCAAAAATTGTATAGACAGAAATCAACTTTGCTGGTACACATAAGGGTTCATACTGGTATAATGCCATTTAGATGTGATGTTTGTCAATTAGCATTCACTTATTTATCTAGTTTAAAGAGACACAAGTTGGTTCACACAGGAGAGAAACCCTATAAATGTGATATTTGTAAATCATTATTTGCACATTTATCTAATTTTAAAATGCACAAGTTAATTCATTCTGATATAAAACCATTTAAATGTGATTTATGTGAAAAAACATTTAAATATAAATATTCGATGGTTTTACATATAAAAAAACATATGGAAAAAATCTGTGAGTGTAATGATTAATAATAATGATACATTTGTAAATTAAAGCAAAATTAAATTACTATTGTAACCTACACAGCTTGTGATCATTCATTTGAACAAATTTTTGATTAGGCTGTACCAGGTGATCCATTTAAGTAGGTACATGTATTATCTCAGAAAGTATTAACTTATTTTGTAATTTGTTTTCTAGAACATTTAAGAAACAAGCTGCTCTACAATTTTATAGTTGTGTTATTTTTGAGGGTAAAACCATTCACTACCTACTTTTGATTTTTTAATGCCAACTTATATTTAAACATTCTCATTAATATATGGAGTCTTGTGTAAATAAATTTCAGTGTTTAAATTTTTGATTTCCATCAATTCATTGATGAAATTTTCCACTTTTAAGTTTAGGTTGGAGGAAAGTAGTGGAGTATCATTAGTGTGGGGTGTTAATAATTTGCTACTACTCTCCTCCAACCAAGACTTAAAAGTGAAATATCTCATATCAGATTAACCGAAATCAATATTTTCTATACTATTAAAATTTATTTTAATTCATACTCCATCTATTTGTGAAATTTTCAATGTAAGTTGCCATTTGAAAATCAAAATTAGATTTCTTTTACCTCCAAAAATAATGTTGACAAAAAATCATATAAATATAAAAGTGTAGAGTAGCTTGTTTCCTAAATGTTCTAGAAAACAAATTCTGGAACAAGTTAATACTTTACAAGATAATGAGTGTACCCACTTCAATGGATCACCCAATATGTGTCCTGCCAAATTATTTTTCTGTTCAAATGATTTAATATGCATGTTACACTGGAAAGATACTATATCGTAGAATCTAATAAAGTAATAAAGTGTATACAATAATATGACTATGTACAATATACTAGACAGTAATCTTTAATCATAGATTTTTTTAGTGTTCAGTATTATAGTAAAATACATTATACTTCTGTATATTATACTAATGATTCATTTGTAAACAATAGGTAATAATGTGTATGCTTATAATGTATCCAATCCTCTCAACTTACCACATACAACTGATTACAACAGTGGTTGTAGTCATATCCAGTATCAGTATTTTTTTTTTATTTCTACTTTAAAATAAAATAAATTAACTGAAAATTGACAGGATTAGATGTCAGAAAATAACAAAGACAAATTATGATATTTACATATAATATGTATATATTTCTTATTTTAATATTATACTATATATACGGAATACAATAAATACAGTTATGGAAAAATATTCGTTTACCTGTACACTTTTTTTCCTTTACTTTTTCTCTCTTTTTTACTCTCTTCTCTATTTTTCACACTTTTTCTCCTTCGCTCAAACCTATCGACTATAGACCCTGATCTGAACGGAATTTTCATTTGCTTAGGTATAGTAGTGGGCTCGCATTATCTTATTATTTTGAAAACCATTTGTTTTAATATTATTTGAAAAACAATCTTTGAGTGCATAGGAATTTCTACGAAAAACGCTTAAACGCGCATCTGCACATAGATAAAGATTTTATAGATTGTATTGTAATTTTCAAACCCGTTCTTATACAAAGTAATTTTAACTAGTAATATTTTGTAGAACAAATAATTATTTTGAGAACCATTGATTCAAATATGTGATTTCTACGGTTCTATTATTAACGGATTTGTTCTAAAAACCCTTGGGAAAATCGTGTATGGCCAGATGTTATCATCATCACAACGCCTGCTAAGTACAGATAAAGATTTTATTGTTCGATATTTGTCTTTATTACTGGAATTAGATTAGGTACCGTAGGGAATATGAAAACTTGTATTTAAAAAAGTAAAGGCTAAAATATTATATGAACAAAGTTAATCCTGTATAATAGGTGGTATTTAAACATTATTTTATCATTATACTATAGGAAAACTATGTTTAAAAAACAAATATGTCCTCTAGCCTGCATAACGGCAGCACACGGTACACACTACAAAATCTCTGCTTAACTAATGGGGGAAAATCAAAAATGTCGGACCTTCTCCCGATAAAAAACCCCATTCTTGATATGTATGGAAATATATTTATTCGATTTTATTAGAATTCGTCTCGTACATTGGAGCACATTCATGATTTACGGCTTAAATACTAAATGTCTAATAAACTTGATTAGGCAGCTTTTGTTAAATACATTTTCCAGATGATTAGCTGCAACTATTAATATAACTGATTAGGTAAGAATTCCGTATTTTCTGCATTTTCTTTAAAGGACGTGATCCGTATGTATTGTCTGCGTCTTATAAACGTACGGCATAGCACATACGCGTGCAGTATCGTGGCTATTAGGCTACTACAAAAATTATCAAGTTTAAAAATATAGTATAATTATAGAATATAACATACTATTATACAATATCCGCATAATGTCAGAACTCCAAAAAGCTATAATTTCGAAAATATATCAGTCTGCTCAATTCTTACTTGACCGTCATTCTTGAACCGGCAATATCAATAATATGTTCAAAACCAAAAAAAGCTGATACTGGGGACGGGTGCGGCCACTGTTGTAGGTGAGAAGTTGGGAAGGTTAGGATACATAAGGCTATTTCATTTATATCTGTAAGGAATGATAAACCATTGCTGACCGGTAGAATACAGTTAAAATTAAGAAATTAAAGATTCGGGAAGTATCTAGATGTCAGTTTTTAGTGTTTATTTACTGAAAAATTAGGGTGAATAAAAAAAATATTCGGAAAAACTATTTCATTGATGTGAGCACAATTGAATTTTCATATCAGTGAAACCTTCATTATATCGAATACACATTAGTACGAAAATCGATGAATTCAAAACGTTCCATTCATTTCTACCACCATGCACTTAAACCAAGAAAAAAATCAAATATTTCTGTTGATACCATCCTTGAGGGGATAGAAACAGAGCACTTAAAAGATATTTACAAAAATACAAGGGAAATCAAGACATGAAGGGATTCGGACAGTGTCTAGATATCAGTATTTTGTGTTCAAAACCTAATAGTATGCAGAGAACAATTATTTAAGAAGACAACTTATAACTGCCCATTTTTACATTTTTATATTATGTAGGTACCTACTATTGTGTATTAATTAACAACTTTATAGAAATCATCCCACCGTAGATATACAATTGTGAAACTTCCTAATTTTTATATTATTATATTAAAAATTTTATGTAGCCTACCTGTTAGTTTTTTTTAAATTTAATATATACTTTCCTAATAGTATAGAACCGATAGAATACAGGGGGAAATTAAGATATGAAGGGATTCAGCGAATGTCAAGATATCAGTATTTACTATTGTACTATTGTGTTGAAAAATTGAAAAAAAATAAATGAAAACTGTAAACCATATTGGCAATACACTTAATTCTTAAAGAGCAATTCTATTTAAACAAATTCTAACAATATTATTATATTTTATGTAGGTACTTTATAATATATACTTACTTAATAATAAGTAATAGATAGTTATAATGTATTGTGCTGTATTTTTTATAAACATATAATGAGGATTTATACACATACATGAAAGAAGAAGTTATAATACATACCTATTGTTTATTTAAAAGTCTATTATTTTTATATAGGTTCTGTATTTTGTAGATAAGTATGATAAGTGAACTGTCACCTAAATAAATTGAATAATGCACAAACATACCCCATTATAAAAGCACCACACCACACCAGTTGTAGTGTGAACCCGGCTTAAGACATTTGATTCTGGCCAATACCAATCATTTTCAATACTTTTAAATTTATTGATTTTTCAACTCAATTTTTAAAGAATTAAAAGGTTAGAATAACTTAAGAATTTCATTTCTGAGTTAACTGTGTTCATTGTAATAAGAATTGTGGATTTAATCGAACTTTTTTTTTTTTTTTTTGACAACACCTTTTTCCTCAGATTTTCAAGTGTAACAATTTTTCTGAAAGGAAATTTTACTGGGATGGTACTGAATGGGGTCTGACTGTGGTGAAGAGTTAATATTTTAATTTTCCAGGCGGTTCATAAAAAATGGGGAAAACCCGGAAATATCAAGAAAAACATAGTAAAATCTGAAAATTTACAAAATGTATTATTTTTAAATCCTAAACATTAAGGCCTTTCAAAACATATGTAATCAAACTCCTCTCAGAATCCTTTTTCATTATCAAAAATTAATTGCTGCAGATATACATCAAATTTTCCTGTATATCCTACCTTCCCAACTTCTCATCTACAATATAGTGACTGGTGAGACACATCAGCATTAAGAAATTGTAATAATAAATAGTGTTAAGGTAGCATTTAAGAAGTAGGGTAAATTATTAATATTAGACAATTATAAAAGGAATAGCAAGAGAGTGTTAGAGAGTCTGTGTGGCTGGACTGTGTATGTTCTTTGGTTTTAATAGTTTATTTAATAACTTTTGTGTTTATTTTTATTCTGTTTTTGAGCGACATCCTTGTTAAAGGGATATATGACAATTTTAATGGTGTCTAGGTTTATTTGTGAGATTTAACTGATGTTTTACGTATAACCATTGGCCAAATGTAAATAAAAATAATTAATGTAAAATTAGAGAAAATATTGATACATAAATTGTTAATCATGTTTAACTAGACTACAAAGTTGTAAATTTAAACTGTATAGTTAATAAAACCCAGTAAAAGTAATTGTGCTTGTGTTTTTCACATAATTGATTTCAATAGGGATCATTTTTTATGACACTGCTATTTTTATTATATTAACAGGGCAGTTTCCATAAATGGTTTCAACTTTTATGAGTATAAGGTCCCAGGTCAAAAACTTGTTCACAGACATAAATGTCTCTTCTAATGATATTGATATTTTGACAAGAAAAATCAAACTAAAACATTTTTATAATTCCTTTATGAAATATATTTGTAAAAAAAACTTTTTTTTAGTTATAATAATAAAATAAGTGTTAGATATAATCATTTTGGTACACAAATACAAAACTAATGTATTAATAATTTTTAAAAATGCTAATATACATTGTAATAATAACAATATTAATTAAATTAACATAAATAATTAATGATACTTCTATAGAGTTAGATTTAAATAAATATTATTTTATAATTAATTAGTATGAACTTGCTGTATTCTTTGGATATAGTTTAAACACATATTGAGCTAAATCTCTTGTTTTGTATGTTATGAAATACAGATCATCTGGGGTCCACCAAGAATTCTAAAAAAAAGTAAATAAACTATATCAAATATAACATATTTAAAAAATATTATTACTGCTATTAATATGTATTAGTTAAATATAATAAAAGTCTGTGTAGTTTTTCATACACTCACATTGAAATAACAAATTATTTTTTTTTTATTTATTCCTATGGTAAGTAGTGAAAACAATAAAAATGCAAAAGTTTCAATATCTGGGACATGTTATGCAGCATCCAGACAAATATATTACACTGCAATTAATAATCCAGGGCAAAATAGTTGGAAAAAGAAACTGTGGAAGAGCTGCTCAAATTTCTCGGATAAACAACTGCATAAAGTGGTTAAATACATATATGACCTCATTATCCAGAAAAACCATTAATAAAGACCAAATTACTAACATAATTGCCAACAAATACTCAAAGAAGAAAACGGTAAGTGTGGTTGGATAAAGTGGAGTAAGATGTGTTTTGTTACAATGAGTTGTTCTACAAAAGAATGGTGAGACTGACTATGTTATATGATTAGGAGTAGAAGTTTCTATTTAAAACATGAACTAATATATATTAGAACATGAAGTCCATGAATGAAAAAATTGTATTCACAAATAATTAATACACATGAATTTAATATCAGTGTTCATGTATTTTAGTATCTAGGTACTACAGTGCAATATAAATAGGGTATGACCAGCCCATGTCAAGTCACTAAACATTTTTTATTATCTACAATAACTATATGTTAGGAATTAAATACTTGTTTATAGTAAAATACATAAATATATGAATACGTGTACACATGAATAAGTACAAGGATATATCAAATTCAGTTTTATAAAAACAAATATTAATTTAAATTTAAATAGTGAGCTCTAGTTTGAAATGTTGGGTGGTTGTAAATGTTGTAGATGGCAAAAAAATAATAGAATGAGTGCAACAAAGATGATAATATTTAGGTAAATGAGTAGAGTGACAATAGAAGATAGGATAGGGGATGAGGTACATAAGAGGTAGCTTAGGTGTAGCTTAAATAATAAACAAAATTAGATAAAATAGACTGAGATAGTTTGTGCATTTAATGGGTGGGAAGAGGGAAATCTGAAAGAGTAAGAATTTTAATTAAAATAAATGTAGGATGAAAGAGGTGGAGAGAATGACTGAAAAAAAGATGGAAGTTTAACCAGGGTAACCAACTCTAAATAATTTGAATGAAGTCAAATGAAAAGATTTATTTCTATGGTATAACAGTACATCAAACAACAGTAAAACAATAATTAAGTAAAATCAATTTAAATAAAATAAAGTTAGCATATAAATTAACAATAGCCAGCTTAGTGATAACCCATTAAAAGATATTGTTGACTCTGATATTAAAGATCTATGTCAACATTTTTGATCTAATGGGTAGTTTTTGGAGTACATGGTAGAAAATAACTATTATTTGTTATTGTAAAAGTTAGACATTTTTGATATTAAAAAATTAATGGAATGAAATAGTAAATAAATATCTGCAAAAAAAAAAAAATTATAATAACAAACAATAAGTGTGCATAGTTAATTCAACTTATTTAAAAAAATTAACTAAAAACAAGAAATGTATACAAAATGAAATAGGTTTACAAAGTTATATAATATTTTATCAAAAAAAAAATAGGAAAATTTATATATTAATTTTATTCTTATAATAAGAATTATAAGAACTAACTTCAAGTTGAAACAAGTGAATGAGAGGATAAGTTATGATGATAAATTACAATAAGAAAGAGAGAGTTACAGGTATTAAGGTAAAAAATAGATAAGACAACACTATTGTTACATGTTAACAAGATTCAACCAAGAGCCTTTGAAAGAAATATTGTATCACAGAATTAATGTCAAGAAAGATTGCAAGATGTTTAAAGAAAATAATAAAACCAAAATGTCCAACAAGATAATTTATACTTGCATTTTTAACTTGAAATACTCATAATTCATTAATAATAAATATTAAATGATTGATTTAATATTTGATTGTCATTAAATCATAAAATGTAAGTAACTATTGATAACAATATGATAAAATTAGTTTTTGTTGTTATCTAATGGTATTTTATTTATATACAAATTAAACCTGTATTAATTACCTCTAATGGACCATGTGTGCTCAAAATCTCTTCAATTTTTTCTCTTATTAAAGTGTTTGCCAATTTTCTTGATGAAAATTTAACAGTACAGCCAACCAGTGTTTCAGGGCATAAATACTAAAATTATAAAAATCAATAAATATAAAAAAATTTAAATAAATTATTGATGACAATAGTATTTATATTAGAATAATTTGCTGATATTATATTAAACATACATTATTATTAAAACCCGTGTATGAGCTATTGGATTAAAACAAAATTTACACTTCTTTAAATAGAGTATGTGTTTTGACATTTTTATATTCTATATAAAAATATAATATACCCTTTTTTCTCAACTAATTTACAAAACTACATTTATAAGTTTTAGAAGTGTTATTAGACAAAATTTAAATATTACCAATTAGTAACACAATTTTAAATAACAGTGATATGTCAACTATCCAAATTTAACAAAATAATAAACTAAAAACAAAATTGTTAAAATGGTTAATACTCATAAATAAATATATAAATAAAAAAATAAATAAATATGTTGGCTGGAGTATTATGATAATTGTATTATATGGTTTCAAATTAAACATTAATCATCGGGTATATCACAGGCAAAATGTAAAAAGTAACTGAATATAAAGAAAATTAATTAAAAGAATACATGAAAAGAAATTATACAAACCAGTTGTTTTACATAGAAATAATTTATTTTAATATGAGAGATTATTTGAAATGGATTATTATTTATTATCTAAAATGTATTGATATAAGATATTATTTTTAAAATTGGTTTGCACATTTAAAATATATTAAACAATTTTTTTTTTTTATTTCATTGCATACATGCAATTCTTCTAAAATTGAATTAATGTAAATATTATTTTGGATACTTAATATCTCTAAGTCTGTTATATTATTAAAGCTTATACTATGGTTATTTTCTAAAACATATTTAGCAAAATTTGATTTAGTTATAGTCTTGTTTTAGACTTGATCGTATTTCATTAAATAAACATGAATACTGATACTTTTATAAAAAAAAAACACATGATTTTATTGATAAAATTAATATTGTGCTAGGTTATAAAATGATTTCTCTTGATGTCAAAAATTTATATACATCCATTCCTAAACACAAAACAGTAAATATTTTAAAAAATAAACTTGTACATAGTAATAAATTCAATACAAATAAAATATAAAAAATTATTAAATTAATAAATGTAATTATTAGTCAAAACTATTTCCAATATAATAAATATATTTGAAAACGGTTGGATTAGTTATTTAAGTGCTCTTTTATCTGAAATGTACATGCAAAATTATGAAACTAATAATATTATTAACAACAAAATATACAATCTATATATGAAAGCATATTATAGATATGTTGATGACACCTTTATATTATTTAAAGGTTCAAATAGACAAGCAGAAAATTTAATTAATAACTTAATCAAAATAAATAAAACATTCAATTTACACTCTAAATACAAATTAATTAATAGATTTATTTCTTAGATCTTACAGTTTCCATAATAAATTACTCAGGGTTATGACAATATTTACTGCAGACATAATTAAATTACTAGATGATAAAGCGCTTGAGCAATACCAGTAGTTAATATAATAATTACTATAATAAACCCAGAAATAGTCCCAGTTAGCTTCAAAATAGCAATAATTACCCCAATTCACAAAAAAGGTAATCTAACCCAAGTAGAAAATTATAGAACAATAAGTCTCTTAATAATTTTCTCCAAAATATTTGAAATATTAAATTCAGAAGAGCTTATAATCTAAAAAGAAATCAAATCCTTCCTATAACTCAGTTTGGCTTTAGAAAAGGGTATAACACTGAAGGTGCTATTACTAGTTTAACATACACAATCCTTCACTCAATGAATTCTAAAAGAAAATCAATAGGTGTATTTATGGATCTAAGTAAAGTCTTCAACTCAGTATCTTATAATAAATAAATAAATAATTTAAAAACCAAATCAGTATTAAACACAAAACATTATTAACATTATTTTTTAGTTATTCTAGCATTATTCATATTTTAACAGAAGCCAAAAAGTTAAAATAAACAATATAAAAAGCACAATTAAATTTATGTCCCTAGGAATACCTCAAGGTACAGCACTGTCTCTGTTGTTATATACATGTCATGGAACTTTCTAATCTACAAATAAAATCAGGAAAAAGAAATCAATAGTAAAAAGACGTCCTAGGATAATGGGGACAGGTGCAGCCACTGTTATAGATAATTTCATATATTTGTAAGCAATAATAAACCATTGCAAAGAAAAACCAATTTTGGGAGTTCAGTTAATAGTGATGCTTTGTCAACAATATTTATGCCATTTAATAACAAAATAATTGAATGGGCTTTATATATTTTCTTTAATAATATTTGTTTAATATTTTACAGTTTTTCCCAGAATTTAAAATTTTATGAGATGACTTTTGAGAAAATCGAAAAATTAGCTTCCTAAAGTAACACCCCACACAGATTTCCTTTCATAAAAGGTGTTACACTTAGAGATCTGACCAAGTTTTCTGGTAGAAAAGTTGTGCACAGAAAAAAATCTGAAAAAACATCTTTATAAAACCATAAGCTTCTTTGCTCCACTTAGAATCTAAAATAATTTGAATTATATTTTAAATATGCAAACTGATTTTAAAAATAATATCTTATATCAATACATTTTAGATAATAAATAATAACCCATTTTAAATAATCTCTCCTACTAAAATAAATTATTTCTATGTAAAACAACCAATTTGTATAATTTCTTTCCATGAATTCTTCCAATTAATTTTCTTCACATTCAGCTGGTATATCACATTTTTACTGTGATATACCTGATGATGAATTTTCGAAACCATATAATACAATTATCATAATAATCCAGGCAACACATTTATTCACTATAAAAATTATTAAATGAAACCAATTTGAACAAAGTAAAATTAATGTATAATATTGATTGAATATGATTAAAATATTGGTAAAATATTAATTGAATCAATACTTACATCTTTTATAATATATTCATTATTGGATATTCCTTTTTTAGAAGAATCATCAACACTAACATTCATTGCATTTTGATCACTTGCTTGTGATGCCATTACTTCTTTTCTCTTTTGGATAAGTTTTAACAAAAATGTAAAAGTTAGAATTCAATTATCAATATTATTAGTATTATCTACTAATTATTTATAATCATAAATATACAATGGTTATGAGGATGTTGTACATGTATGTGCTAGCTCAGTTTAACTAAAGGCAATATAGCAAAATCTGCCTTACCTTTTAGACTAATATCACTAATTATAGAATTAAAAAGAGGACAATATTACAGAGGGCAATCCAATGCATTTTTGTTATTCTAATTATTATTCCAAATATTACTGAAATACATTGTTTACAAATAAAAACTAATTAATCAATTTCAAATTACTTTAATATTTCAAAAAATAAATGCATTGTCTTGCCTTCTGGAAAAATGTTGGCTTTTAATTTTATAATAGATGCCCATATATTAAAACCAAAATTAAGACTACATAGTTAGTCTGTGTAAGGTAGATTTTACTAAATTGCCTATTAGTTGGACTAAGACAGAACATGGGGGGTATAATGTAATCTTAGAGTTAATTCAACATGCCTTTGAATTATTTTTCAACCAAATATTACTTTTTCATTGTAAAAACTATTAATTGCGATAAATAAATAAAATATATTAATTACAATGGTAAACATATAATAATTAAGTTTTATATTACCCCTATATCATAGTTGTTCGAATATAATTGATTTTCATAAAATTGTTGTGTCTGAAAACATGCATTGTTATTTTTATATAAACAATTTAATACTACTACAAAAATAAAAATAAAATATTTAAGTTTTATATTACCCCTATAATATCATAGTTGTTTGAATAAGCATCATATTGATAAAGTGATTTAGTTGAATCAGTGTGTTTCCAAGAATTGTTAATATTTCTATGTTCGGTCCATGATGTATTAAGAATTTGATTATGTTGTTTTGGTTTGTTGAAGTCTGTAGGATCAAAAATATGCCTAGGTCTATGCATATCACTAGTTGATGTATGAGATGATTTATTTGTTAAAGTAAATGGTGGCACCTTTGGTTGTTGAAAATTATTGCAAGTAAGATCTGGAACACTTCCTAGTATAAATTGAGAGCTGTTTGAATTATTTTTTTCTGTATTCAAATTCTGTACTTCATTATCATCTTTATGTTCATGCCATAATGACAAATTATTAAGAACTTGTTTGTTGTAGTCAGTCGGATTAAAAACATGTCTAGGTCTATGCATATCACTAGTTAATGTATGAGATGGTTTATGAGGTAATGTGAATGACAAATTTTGTTGTTGAAAATTATTAAAAGAATGATCTCGAACACTTTCTTGAGAAAATTGACAACTGCTTGAATTATTTGTTCCTGTAGGCAAATTCTGTATTTCATTATCATTTTTATATCCATACCATAATGAGGAATTAGTAATATCGCTAGTTGAAGTATGTGATGGTTTATGTGTTGATGTGAATGGCAAATTTTGTTGAAAATTATTAAATGTATGAGATGAAACACTTTCTGGTAAAAACTGAGAACTGCTTGAATTATTTGTTCCTGTATGCAAATTCTGTATTTCATTATCATTTGTATGTCCATGCCATAATGAGGAATTAGTAATATCTCTAGTTGAAGTATGTGATGATGTGAATTGAAAATTTTGTTGTTGAAAATTATTAAAAGTATAATCTGGAACACTTTCTGGTATAAAGGAACACTTTCTGGTATAAATGTAGGGGTTTTTGAATTATTTTTTCCAGTATTCAAATTCTGTATTTCATTATCATTTTGATGTCCAAGCCATAATGAGGAATTACCAATATCTCTAGTTGAAGTATGTGATGGTTTATGTGGTGATGTGAATTGAAAATTTTGTTGTTGAAAATTATTAAAAGTATAATCTGGAACACTTTCTGGTATAAATGTAGAGGTTTTTGAATTATTTGTTCCAGTATTCAAATTCTGTATTTCATTATCATTTTGATGTCCATGTATTTCATTATCATTTTGATGTCCATGCCATAATGAGGAATCATTTTGATGTCCATGCCATAATGAGGAATATTTTGATGTCCATGCCATAATGAGGAATTACCTATTCAAATTCTGTATTTCATTATCATTTTGATGTCCATGCCATAATGAGGAATTACCAATATCTTTAGTTGAAGTATCTAATGATTTATTTGTTGTTATGAATGGAAAATTTTGTTGAAAATTATTAAAAGTATCATCTGGAACATTTTCTGGTATAAATGTAGAAGTTTTTGAATTATTTGTTCCAGTACTCAAATTCTGTATTTCACTATCATTTTGATGTCCATGCCATAATGATGAATTAGCAATATCTTTAGTTGAAGTATCTGATGATTTATTTGTTGTAATGAATGGAAAATTGTGTTGTTGAAAACTATTAAAAGTACAATCTGGAACACTTTCTGGTATAAATGTAGAGTTTTTTGAATTATTTGTACCAGTGTTTAAATTCTTTTTTTCACTATCAATCCTTTCATATGTTATACAATTTCCAAACTGGTTATTCTCTAAACATAGTTTATAAAACCAGCTATCATTTTAAATTGAAAAAATTAAGGAATTATTTTATGAATAGTTATCAATAAATTAGAAAAAATATATAAAGATAAATTTAGCATGGGGTATTATATAGATTGTGTATGTTTATAACTATTTTCTACTTAAAGAAATCATTGTCAGATAATCTGCCAAATGCCATAAAAATAAAATTTTTAGGTTACAAATGTTTATTATTATTAAGAACTATTTTTAAACAAAAATTGGTAAACCATTGATATTATTTAGTAGTGACAATGAAGACAATTTAAATATTATTATTGATTTCAACAGTTTTTAAAAAATTAATAATGAATGTTACTAATGAGTAATATCAAAATGTTGTTTCAAAATAAATTTATAAAATAACAATTTTGGATATTAATACAAGTGATTTATTAAACACGCTCACCCTCACTTTTATGGTTAATTTTGTATGCATTTAAATTTAAATTCCAAAACTAACAATCTGAATAAAATATGGAAAATTTAACCCTAAAAAGGCGTCTTAGGATAAAGAAAATGGGTGCAGCCACAGTTATAGGTAATTTAATGTATACCTGTAAGCAACAATAAATCATTGCAAAGAAAAACTAATTCTGAGCAGAGTTCAATTGATAGTAAAGCTTTCCCAACAATATATGTCATTTTATAGTAAAATAATTAAATATACATTATATATTTTTCTTTAATAATATTTGTTTAATGTTGTATGGATTGACCCAGTTTTCCTACGTTTCTCATATTTTATCCCTGTTTTTCTCATCTGGGAACTTTTGGGAAAATCAAAAAATGACCTCTCTAAAGTACCTACTTAATGAAATTTCCCTTTAGAAACATTGCGATTATTAGAAGTTGGAGTGAAATTGCTAGTAAAAAAGTTGTCCACAGGAAAAAAAATAAACACTTATAAAACCATAAGCTAAAATGGAGTCAACATGCCAAATGAATCGCACAGTAATTTTTACAAGACAATCTCTAATTATGTGTTATTTAGGAATTATATTGTTTAGCAGTACCTTCTTTACATTTTAATTTCTAAGCAACAGAAGGTATTTCCAAACACTTTATTAATGTCTTTTTGAACATACCTGATATTTTGAAGTCACCGGTAAATGTTTCATTAGATTTTGAATTAAAACCTCTTAATTGATTTAATGGCAAACATTGTATATTAGGAATATTTCCTTGAAATTTTTTTTTTGAAGTTTTTCTAAAATCATTTTTGTTATTTTTATTCCCGCCTGGTGGACCTCTTTCAATTTTTCTGAATGGTGTTCTATAAGTATTCTAAAGAAATGCATAGTTATACATACACATATGTTTTGAGTAATATAGAAAATAAATAATATTATATAATATATTATCTGTTAATGTGACCACTTTCTATTTTTGCACATTACACCTTGAATAAAAATTCTTAAATTGTGGATAATGTATAGATTATCCAGGCAATATGTATGCTAACCAATGAACCAGAATGCTATGGATAAAGTAAATAATTAATAAAATAAGGTACCCCATAATAGTACTTATAAAATCATTTTTTCTTAGTATATTTATTGTGAATAATTAATTATTTTATTTTATATAATGTGGATTTACTTATTATGTTTGAAAAATAAATATAATATTCTTCTTTTTAACTTGGCACATATTACTCACTAACAGTTATTTATAAAATAAAAATAATATTAAAAACTAATTATGTTTATTAAATAGGTATTAAATTGCTAACTTATGAAATAATATAATAAAAAAGTGCATATCATATTAATTAATAAATACTTGAAAACTCAATAGATTTTTATAAATGATGAATTAATATTTATTTATAAATTATGACTATAACAAGACTGAATTAAAAAAAAAATACTGCCATTAGTTTAAACAATTATTTATTCTTAAAATTTAAAGTTGAGTGGTATTTAGAATTACATAAAACCCTTGCAGATTTTAAGTTAACATTATTTAAATACTAGAAATCAAAAAGTTTTAAAGTATACAATATCAGTACACATATTATAAAACCTAGAAACTTCACACACTTCACAGTGGTAGGAAGTGCACAAATTACAAGGTAAGTTATGTAAGAAATACATATTTCTACTTTATAAAATAGGCAATGATCACATTAATTGGATAATGTATATTGTATACATCATCACATTAATTGGATAATGTATATTGTATACATTACTACTTTACCAGAAACATGTATAATAGAAATACTAAATTATATATATTCAATTACATAAATTATTAACATAATATATTTTATTATATGAAGAAAATAAAATATGTTAAAATAAAACCTGATGATTCCTGATTGGTTGTTTATAACTACCAAAACTTGAATTATGTTGTTTGTGATGGTTCCATTTTATGAATTCAGAATTTGTTTTGGTGTCCTAAAAAAAATAATAATAATAATAAACTAACAAAGAAAAATCCATTACCAAATTGATTTCAAATGAACAACTGTATACATATTTTCTAACACGATCTACACAGTCATCCTTATAATTGTAATTTCCAGAATATTCAGGATTTGAATTATTCCAAGAAGTTGATGTTTTCCAGGAAGTATCCTTATCTTTATTAAAATTTTCAAGGTTGTAATTTTGTGAATATTCAGGATCAACATTTTTATTGGAAGTTAATCCTTTATCAGAATATGACTGCTTCAATAGAACATTTTGATCTTTACAGATTTCAGGTTTGCTAATTTGTGAATATTCAGAATCAACACTTTTTTTGGAAGTTAATCCTTTATCAGAATACAACTGCTTCGAAACAACATTTTGATCTCTTCGGATTTCAGGTATGGTAATTTGTGAATATTCAGGATCAACATTTTTATTAGAAGTTAATCCTTTATCAGCGTATGACTGTTCCAATACAACATTCTGATCTCTACGGGTTTCAGGTTTACTAATTGGTGAATGTTTAGGATCAACATTTTTATTGGAAGTTATTCCTTTATCAGAATATGACTGCTCCAATACAACATTTTGATCTCTATGGATTTCAGGTTCGCTAATTTGTGAATATTCAGGATCATCATTTTTATTAGAAGTTAATTCTTTATCAGAATATGACTGCTCCAATACAACATTCTGATCTCTATGGATTTCAGGTTCACTAATTTGTGAATATTCAGGATCATCATTTTTATTGAAAGTTAATCCTTTATCGGAATAGGACTGCTTCAATACATTCTGATCTGTATGGATTTCAGGCTTACTAATTTGTGAATATTTAGGATCAACATTTTTATTGAAAGTTAATCCTTTATCAGAATATGACTGCTTCAATACAACATTCTGATCTCTATAGGTTTCAGGTTCGCTAATTTGTGAATATTTAGGATCATAATTTTTATTAGAAGTTAATTCTTTATCAGAGTATGACTGCTTCAATACATTCTGATCTTTACAGATTTCAGGTTTGCTAATTTGTGAATATTTAGGATCAACATTTTTATTGAAAGTTAATCCTTTATCGGAATAGGACTGCTTCAATACAACATTCTGATCTCTATAGGTTTCAGGTTCGCTAATTTGTGAATATTTAGGATCATAATTTTTATTAGAAGTTAATTCTTTATCAGAGTATGACTGCTTCAATACATTCTGATCTTTACAGATTTCAGGTTTGCTAATTTGTGAATATTTAGGATCAACATTTTTATTGAAAATTAATCTTTTATCGGAATAGGACTGCTTCAATACAACATTCTGATCTCTATAGGTTTCAGGTTTACTACTGATCTCTATAGGTTTCAGGTTTACTAATTTGTGAATATTTAGGAACAACATTTTTAGTGAAAGTTAATCCTTTATCAGAATAGGACTGCTTCGATACAACATTCTGATCTCTATGGGTTTCAGGTTTATTAATTTTTGAATATTTAGGATCAACATTTTTATTGAAAGTTAGTCCTTTATCGGAATATGACTGCTTCAATACATTCTGATCTCTAGGGATTTCAGGTTGGCTAATTTGTGAATATTTAGGATCAACATTTTTATTGAAAGTTAGTCCTTTATCGGAATATGACTGCTTCAATACATTCTGATCTCTATGGATTTCAGGTTTGCTAATTTGTGAATATGTAGGAATTAAATTTGTAGGGCAAGCAGATGTTTTGTCAGAAAGTGGAAAGATTTTGAAAGTAAAATCTTTTATACAATTTTTTTGTATGTCAGTTTGTGAATATTTATTAGTTTGGGGAGTAGATGTCTGGTTAGAAAAAAGAGGCGTTTCCCATAAATTGCCCATTATTTCATCATCTTCTACTGAATGTTCAGGATTTGTATTTGTATTATTTAAGATCTAAAAACAGAAAAAAAATTTATATTTTAAATTATAAAATATACTTTTTAGATTTGTAAATATTTAATATATTTTAATTGGTTTTTTTTTTTTTTTAATGCTCAACATTTTTTTTATATTTATTAAATTAAACTATTATTATGCAATTTAATTGTAAGCATGCATAACTTTCCCTTTTAAATGGCAACCCCCTCTCCACTTTTTTGGGTAATTACTTTTACTCAAATTTGTTTATGAATTCAAATGATTAAACCAATTGCCTATGCTTAAAAATATGTTAGATATTTAAATGATTCATATTTATTGTAATCAGAAATGAGCAATATCTAAGATAGGAATATCTTTTGATGTTAATTAATTGTATCTATATACTTTTATTTGTGATGTATTGTGTACCTTTTTTCGTAAAGATTCTAGATACTAGATACAATCAAGATTAGTTTAGTTTTTTATTCCAATGTTAATTACAATTCCATAACAATGGATACATGATTATATTAGGATTAAGATAATGATAAAATGGCATGAGTCCTATGAAAAATGCATAGTCTAATATACTAATCTGTAATAATAAAACTAATCAATATTCAGACATCATTCATAAATCCCAAAAAAAGAATTTAATTAACTCAATTTAAAAATACAAAAAAGGTCTCTTATCATTTATCTATTAGAGCAATATTCATGGTAGAAAACATAAGCCATACAAATTTCAAATAATGAAATTGTGTCATAATTTGAAAAATATTGTATATGTATTTCTTCCTTTTTGGTTTTCCCCATTTATTATGTAAAATACTTTAGATATCATAAAATGACCTACTCTGTCAGTAGTATTAAAATGAACTAAATTGATCACTTGTCATTTTTCAACTGAAGTAATATTTCTAGTAGAAAACATTGTGTAAACATAATAAAACAATGAAAACTGTAGCGCAGTTAATACATATTTGCCATTTTACCTATACTTTCCTTTCGGATTTTCCCGATTATTTTGAAAACCCCTTGAAAAATAGTAAGACTTACCCAATGCACTAACTAGAAAAAATTACCCTTCAGAAAATGTTCTATAATCTATACTTTGGAGTAAGTTTTCTAGTAGAAAAGTGGTTCACAAATAGAAAAAGAAAACACATCATAGTAAAACCTAGATCCCTCCAAATCTAAAAACAAACATAGATCATGTCTTTTAAAACAGTATTAAGAAACTTGCGCAGTCTAAAATATTAAAACAGACAAAAATATGATACCTATGCAAAAATGTACAAGCCCACCCGGTACATTAATAACTATCAACATTTATACATTGTTATAGTTTTATATTTATTACCAATTTATTTATTTTAAGTTTAATTAGTATTAAAGTTATAAAGTATATAAAGTTCTTTCAAAGTAAATTAAAAACCATTTATTTATTATACATTTTAATAATTTTTCAATGTAAAATCTACTTTTTTTGTACATGCAATTTTAGTAAATAATTAAGAAAAAATAATAAATGTTTTAATAGCAGAAATAAAGCAGGGCTTGGAATCTGCACTTTCATCAGAAATGATTTATCGTTGCTTACAGATATAAATTAAATAACCTTATGTATCCTACCTTCCCAACTTTCACCTACAACAGTACAATCTACAATATTGGGCTCTAAATTGTTTATCTCTATTTACTTCAATGTAATCAGTGGGTTATACAGGGTGTCCCTCTATGGCAATATCAAATAAGTAGGTAATAAAACAAGTTTATCAATTTTTAAATTGAATTGGTTCTTACATTTAATAAATTAAAAACGTCAACGAAAGTTAAAAAAATATCATTTGAAATTAATAAAATCACAAAATGTTATCACATAGTATTTACTGATAACATTGTACCTATTCTCTAGTTAAACATTATAATCGGGGGGGGGGAGGGGGAATATTTCAAATTAACTATTTTACAGTTAAAGCCTAGTTAAAATGTTAACCAAGTGATAATAAAATTACATTTTTAGTTTAATTGTTGATTAACATTAATTGGAGTTTAAATTCTCTTAACTGGAGATTGATAAAATACCTCATAAATTTATAATAATAATATTAAACCATAGATAATACCTATATATTAAATATACATTATTTATGTATTGAAACTATAGAAGGACCATGGATAAAGAATACATCTATGAAGGAGGTTGATTTGATAATATCTACACCCAACTGTTATCACACTAAAAAAAACATTGAAAAATCGAGTTTAATAATATAAACCATTTGTTACTTTAAAGTTAAATAACTCAAAAAATAGCAACTTTTTTTAGAAAATTGTTCATGAAAAATTTGTTTATTTTACTTAATTAAATATCTTCCTGGTGGAATAAAAAGGATCTTTTTGTGATACTGTCTCATGGCTAAATAATAAATATTATTAAGAGGACATCTTGCCTCTTGCAAAAACCATGCTTATGTAAAATAGGTAAAACTAGCTTAATTTTGGTTTCAGAGCAAAGGTAAATATATTATAAAATGTATAGAAAACAATATTTCTATGAGAGGATCTCATAGGGTTTTTGTGTTATTCAAAATATACAGCTAGATACAAAATATTTTTTTTGTTTTTTAAATAACTGTAGCTTTTTTTAACAGTCCATTATTTAAAAAAAAACTCTGACATTTAAAATATTGTTCTCTATAAATTGTATAATAGGTACTTTTACTCTAAAATCAAAATTAAGCTAGTTTTACTTATTCTACGTAAGCATTGTTTTTGCAGGTTACCTGATTGTTGAACTGATACAGTAGATATGGGTTCAACATTCTCTTAATTAGTTTGTTAAACAGTTTATATCTCATCATGAGCGATTTTTAATTTATGTTATTTTTAAAATCATTTTTCAATGATTTTTAGTGCTATCCAATCCCAGCCATAGTTATAAGGATATTTTAGTGTAGTTATTTTAAATGAAAAACATAGAATTATTAATTATTTACTCACCCGACTTAGATCATTTGATTCAGCAATATCAGGTTCAATCTTTACTTTTATTTGTTGATCTGTGGTGGAATAACCTAAATAAATATATATTGATCATTGTTAAAATATAATCTTATCACATTTAACATAATTTAGAAATACTGTTTCAATACAAATAATAATGATTTATCAAACTCATAATAAGAATTGTAAACTCCATTGCATAATTAAAAGTATCATCATTTGAAATAAAATAAAATATAAATCAATTAAATTAATTAAATTATTATGTAAATCAGAAAATGACAAAAATATTGATAGGTACCATTTATAGTTTCAGTTCCTGGTTCTTTTTTGATGTTCTTGTGATGTTCACCCTTAAAATAAATAGGAGAATTATTTTTATTAATATGTTTTACTTTAATATACAAAATATGTTTGAATTGATAATATTTGTCTAGTTTCTAGTTTCTACAAGCTAAAATAACTCTTAACGTATTAGTACATAGTAAAATTGTATTTTTAATTAGTTTTTCTATAAAAGATTGAGGATAATTTTTTTAAATAATTGTTTGTGTGATGGAAAAATATATACTTATATTTTGTAAAAATATATCTAAGAATATGAGATCTAATTCTTTAAAATAATAGGTAATTAATTAAAATATAAATTCAGAACTTACAGGAGGCAGTGTTTTATAAAAAACAGTCCAATTATATTCTTCTGGATTGTGTTCATAAACGCCATATTCTTCATGGTCTTCTAGCAGTTCAAAAATTGCTCTTTTTTTACTAAAACGTAATATTATAATTATATTAACTAAATCATAGAAAATGATAAATCAAAAATATATTACCCAATGAATTCTACTTCATTCTTTCTAACAGGGCTGTGATGAGTTATATTAACAGTCTAAATAATCATAAACAAAAATACAATTCATATTAATAATTTACTTTATTATACAATATTACATTATATAATATACAAAATATTTCCTATTATATTTTAAGAGTAGAGAGGGTTTTATTATGATGTGTGCTTCTTTTTGTATCTAAACAACTTTTCAATCATAAAAATTGTTCCAATCAAAAAAAGATTTTTGAGACATACAGACATTTTATGTTTGGCAGGTTTTTAAGTAGTTTTTAATTGGTTGGTATTATGTGGAAAACATTGTTTCGTTAAACAGAAATGTTTGAAAATTTAACACAAGATTCATTATAAGTTGTACTTAGTGGTAAATAATAAAAAGTAGAGTGTAAAGTAGTAATTATTTTTTTAAATGCTTATAAAATAAATTTCTATTAAAAACATATTTTTAAAAATGTGATATCAAATGAATATGATAGATTACCTAATTAATATTTAATTAATATTTCATAATATAGGACCCTATTACATCTTATTTATCCAATACAACTATAATAAGTTCACAAAAATGTTGATAAATAGCTGATAACATGCATTATTTATTCTGTCTTTTGTGAAAGTTATTCATATTGTATACAATTTTAAAAAAATGGTTTTTTGTTTTTGAATATTTGAGTACAACTCACCATATGTTAAATAAATAATGATGTTTTTCATAAAATTGATATATATATAATTTTTTTTTGTTATTTTCTATTTTTAGAACTTAAAATGATATTATTAATAAAAGTAAAATTATGTTGGTCAAAAAATACGTCCATGATATTGAATATACCATATTAGTGTATAACACATTTTATTTGCATAAACTTGTGTATTAACCAGGTATAACTGTTTTAACATTACAAAAAATGCCATTTTAATAATAATTTAATAGAATGACTTCTTTTATTATCATTTAAACGTGTAGTAATAGTGGTTTTGAAAATGATTTTATATACCTTGAGTTATTTAATTTACTTTAAGCAAGTTTTTATTTTTTAATATGTTAAATGAGGCTCATATTATAATTTTTTTTTTTTTTTTATGAACACTTATTATTTGAATAAGCTTAGAAAGACTAAGACAAAGACTGCAAAATGTACCGACAACATCACATACGAAAAAACACATGAGTAAATACAAATGAAGAACTTTTATGTATGAATTTAAAACATCATCTGATCCTATAATATCAGTATATGAAATCAGTTATAAGAACGCTTCCAAACAAATATCACTCAAATTATCAAACAAAGCAATGTCATTATTGAGTATTAAATAGAAACAAGACAAATCATAGAATATAGTAGTAATAACACAATATGGACGGTTAAAAAACTTACTTTAAATATATGTAGTTCAATAGTTATAAATTATAATTAGATTTTAAAAAATTAAAAATCACCTCTTGCCTCCCTAATTAGGGACTGATTACAAAAATGTAGATAATATAAGTTCAACAACATTTAAAACATATAATTTGATGTGAAATATGCAGATTTCATAAAATTTAAAAAAACACCCCTTATTCTACCTCTAATTAAAGGGCTGATATCAAATCATGATTTTCATTTTTATCACTCATTATGAATGGGTTTTTGTGGAAGGCTATGATATTAATTAATTGACTAATTATTCATTTAGTGCAAATCACAAAACCATCAATTTCTTCTGGAATAAAATAAATAATAATAATCAATTGGATACATATTTTAAAAAAAAAAATTGCAGCGAAAATACATGTATTTTGGATAGTATACACACAAGGACCAACTAACAAATTTAATTGCATTCAAATTTTTAGATATGTATAAGAATGTATTACGAATTAAAAAAGAAAAAAGATGGATATACTTCACAAGATGGGCTACTGTTGTAAGTGAAAATTTGAGAAGGTAGGATATAAAGGAGAATTTAATGAGCATCTGAATCAAGGAATAATTTTTACTCACTAAAAGCGATTCAAAGTTATACATGTTTTGAAAAGCTGTAATATTCACGATTTTCACAGAAATTTGATATTAAAATACTCAAAAAAAATTCTACATTACGCTCATTTTTTTTTTTTTTTTTATTAAGTACAAAATACAACTTATTTTGAATCTCCTTTTAAATTTTCAATAATATTTGTTAGACCTAATAATTTTATCCATAAGAACCCACCAAAAAAATTACATAAAAACTCCCAAAATTAAAATGTCTATAAATAGCTCAAAAATGGCTAAAATGCTTTACCACCTCTAAAAAATGCAAAAATAAGTGTTCTGTTTAAATTTTAAAGCTTTAAAAATATTTTTAACTGAATCACAACAAATTGAAAATTTTGTACATTTTCCCATTTTTACTACTTTTTTCCAAATGATTATGAAAACGGCTGGGAGATAAAAAAATTACTTAAAAAATAAAATTTTCTTTCAGAAAAGGTACTACACTAAAAAATTGGAGCAAGTTAGTAGAAACGTTGTTCAGATAAAAAAAAATAAATAATATTATAAAACCAATACATTCCTCACTTCACTCAGAATCTAAAATAGTAAAATAACAATAGGTCTAAATACACAGAACTGGTACTATTCTAAAATGAATAATTTTGATTTGTTTCAATATTAATTTTTTTTTTTTTTTTTTAAATAATTTATTGCAAAGATGTAAATGTAACTTATAAGTTATATAATATAAGTGAGTAAAATACATAATACTAATACTTAGTCTACACAACAATAATATACTATAGAAATAATTAGCATGCAGCAACTTAATAAATTATTGTTTAAAATAATAAAATATTATCATCTATCTTTATTAATTAATTAATTAGCTGGCAACCACAGTCTAACCACTGTGGTAACATCTTCAACAACTCAATCACAGACCGCTCTGTGAATAAGGTATAAGGATGGCCCATCCATTTTTTTATTATCTTTTATCTATCAATATAATATTTTCTAGTATAAAATATTTGCAAGCCACGACAATTAAACAACATAAATTGCAAATATGAATACAAATAACATTAAAATGTCAAATAATATGAATATTATGTGAGATCTAAAATGAAATGAGAGCCAGGATACAAGCATGGAAATAATTCTTATAGTTTTAACAAGATACTTAAGTCAAAAATGCTATACAATAGGGTTGGCAAACTTTTCATTTACAAAATACTGGCCCCTTGCAAAAAAAAAGCAAGGGTCATTTTCTTATAGAATTTTATTTCAATATTTTCATTATAAGCTACATTAAAGAGGTAATTGTAGGTAATTTTAATATAATAACAAAATGATAAGTATAAAATAATAAAACAAATTAAACCTTTTTATTAAAGTTATATTAAGGTATATTTAATTAAAGGTATTTTTTAGCAGCATTTAATACATTTTTTTTAGTTATAATTTTTTGAAAAAATTCTATACCTACATGTATATATTAAGTTGTTTCCAATAAATAACTGTGTTAACTCCCAAACAATTCTCCCTGATGATCCACAAACTATTCATATAGCTAAAAATATGTTCAACAAATGCATTAATATTTTTTAATGGTGTAGAAGATGATAAACATACATCCATCTCTGGTCGAAACTCTTGATTCAATTAAAATACCAGCTTTTTATAGGCCAGTAACAGGTTCATAGCGGTAATCGGTTATTTAAATCTATCGAAGTGAAGCACTGATCGTGCCAGTAAAAGTTGGCAATTCTTTATACAAAGACTTAAAGCTTCAACTTTACTAAACACTAATAAGACCTGTAGTAATGTATGAAAGTCGAACTTAGATAATACATAAACTCAGATAAATAACCTACTAGTATTTGAATGAAAGGTATTAAGAAAAATATTTGGCTACATTCTAGTCATTAGCAATAGAGTAGAGGATCTGAAAAACAATAAAATTAAAGAACTCTATAGGTACCATAGCATAGTGAGTGAAATTAAAAAAAGAAGATTAGGATGGGCCAACAACACCTGGTTGGGGATTAGTTTATACATCTGATACTAGACAATAGTCCAACAGGAAAAAGACCACTAGGACACCCCTATCTGAGATGAGAAGATTAAACGAGGTTAGAAGTGAAGCTTACAGAACCAGATATAGAATGACTAAACCTTGGTATAAAATAAGGTTAAATGGTGGAAAATAAGTTTATCAGTTTAGCCTTAAAGGCCTATAATCTATCTCTAACTAAAAATAAAATATAATTATAAAGTAAACCTTTCAATATTATCAACTACAGAGGTTTAATTATAAATGTCACAAATGGCATATCAAAAAAATAATATTGTTAGCTACTTCTTATTATTATTATTTTATTACAACATCAATAATAATTATTGAATCTGTAGCGGATATGTTAGTTTAAATCAATAACACATTGCTTGAAACATGCATTGTATAATATTAGAATTTCCAGACATATTTATGAAATATTCACTAAGCTGACAGTTTTTGGCAATCAATAAAATGTTTAATCATTACATTAGATAAGTATTAACCTATACTAAAGGTAATCATAGTAACTATGTTTTGTAAGAACAAAACTTTATGCACTTATATTGCAGGGATGCACACAGAAATATTTTTAATTTAATTAAAATAGATACAGAAATAGGTACATAACCTAAATAACATAATATGTAAATACTAATATTTTACATAATATTAAAATTTAAAATCAATTTAAACAATAGATCATCTTGTATATTTATTTACACATTTTAATTTACTTACTGAAGCAGGTACTAAATCATTAGGCTTTACTACATCCATGTCTTCAGTATCAGATTCACATTCTTCCAAAAGTTTGTCAATCCTAAATAATAAATGGTACAATACATTAAAAAATATATAAATACATAATTATTAACCAAGGTGGAGTCCCCATTTATGGCTATTTAACTATTTTTCTATTAATATTTGATTTAATCTGTCTATAGTTGAAAAAATAAAATTTCCAATTCTATTGTCATCTTACACTATCTATGGTTATTGTAATAATTTATATCATCCACTAAATTAATTAATACAGATGAATACAACAATCTTTTTCTTCTTCTCTTTCATCTTAATCACAACTATTTGAAGTCAGCCACCTGGAAATTGTGGTCAGATTATAAGTGTAGCATTTATTCTGAAAGGAAATCAGACTGGGGTGGTACTTTGGGGATTTTTTAATTTTCTCAATAATTTTCCCAATAAATGAGAAAACCCCGGAAAAGCAAGGAAAACAGGTACAAGATTAAACAAATATTACTAACGAAAATATTTAATACATAATATGTAATTATTTTACCATAATATGACATAGATATTGTTAATAAAGCAACACTATCAACCGAATTCTGCACAGAACCATTTTTTCATTAGCAATGGTTAATCGTTGCTTACAGATATACATTAAATTACAGTGGCTACACCCATCCCCATTATCTTAGGACAGCTTTTTTGAAATTAAAATCATCATATTTAAAATAGTTATTTGAACCCCTTTAAAATGAACGGTACACTCGAAATTCATTTATCTGAATATTCTTTCCTCTTCATTAATATAGAGAATATGGGCGAATAAAAACTCTATTTAATTTATTTAGTTATTTCACTTTTTAAAGATTTATTACCACTAGCTACTAACTATTTCAAATAACAATAATTTGTGTTATCACTTTTGACTAGAAAAATATAGAATATTAAGTCTAAAAAACATGTTTTGGCATATCATTGTTAGTACCATACATAATTTGACTAATTCAAAGGCGTAATAATACTTTTAAGTTTGAATTATAAATTAAATTTGGTAACAGAATCGCAATTTAGTAGCAATAACTTTACTAGTCTCTTAATCTACAAGTTTAATTTACAAGTCATTTGTATAAAAATACAGAATCGCCCTGCTGTTGTCCCTATGCACATTCAAGACGAGACAATCCATCAAAATCTTATTTAAAAATATGCATACTGTTTGACAGAATTTTACACCGGATGTCAACCTAGTGCAAGCCCATGTCACTTTTTTACTACAAGTAGAGGTACTGTTAAAGTATTCTAATCCCCTCTTATAAGGAGATATAACAAAAAAATCAAGTTAGATTAGGTGAATTTAGAAGATTACCTAATTAATAATACTAGTATACAGTATTATAGTATTACTTTTTCTTTCAAGTTAGGTCATTTTTTTAGTTAGCAATGGTCAATTGTTGCATACAGATATATATTAAATTCCCCTCTACTAGGTGATCAATCTATCAAAAGACACTCATTATTTCGGGAAGTATTAACTTTTTAAAACTTTTTTTTTGTTGAAAATTTTAAGTCATTTAAATTCTAAGTCATCATAAAATGTTTGTCATACAATATCAATAGATGTATATTTTCACCTAGTGTTACTTTATTTACAATATTTTTAAAAATGTATATAATTGTTCTGAAAAATTGTTTTATTTTTTTATTGTTTTCTTTTAAAACACTTTTTTGGCTAGACAAATGCTGTTTTTTTCATATAGAACCTAAATGAATTCATCCCTGTCACCCATTTTTCTTGGGAATCTATTGTCTACCAAACTTCTTATTCGAATATACATTTTGGTAGGATCATTCTTCTTTAGCCTCTTGTTAATTAATTAGATTAGTAATGTTCTGAAATTCTATTAAAATATAGTACAAAATTGTTTAATTGTTGATCTTTAAAAATGTATACTTTATTGTATTTGATTTTTTTTTTTTTAGAAGATATTAAGAATTTATAAAAATAATTTTAATGCTGAAATAAAAATAATGATATTAACATAGACACCATTAAATCAATTATTAATATTAAATATTTTTTTTCGAATAAAGTGGATGGTTAAATTAAGTTTTATGATTTATTTCTAATTCTTAGTTCTTACTATCATCGTTAATATCTTAGTTTTTATACCGTTATATCATAATTATTCTTAAAAATATAAAACCAGCATCTAAACATTTATTTTCATTTGCATAAAATTATTTGTAATTTAAATATTTATCTATGATATTTGTATTGTATACCTATATATTTTACTTTACTATAATATATGCAAGTTAAAATGTTTGTATTTTATTTAACGAAATATTTTTACTGCATATTGATTGTATTTAAATACAAAATTAATAAGTGAACAGCTCTTTGATTTGATTCCCAAAATCCCTTTCTAAATAACCGTATACTTTAAAGGAAGGTGCAATAAAACGCCAACATCAAGGAGTAGGTATAAATATTATGTAAGTATCCAAATTAACACTTATTAGGGCTATAGGTCCCCCACAAAAAACCATCACGTTATGCCTATACCTACAGTGGTACAAAACACGAGCACATTAGCTGAAATGTTCGGACATCAGTGAAAAATCAAATCATTTTGTTTTTCATATTATGTCGTCCAATATATACCTACCAGTGCATAGTATTATTTTAAATTTAACTGTTTATCATATTGAATTGACTCAATATATAATAGAACTTGTTAATATTTATTCTAAGGTAATTAAAATCTGTTTGGAAAATCATGAAGGGACAAGCAGATCCTTAAGTATTCGCCTCATTTCTTTAGTTAACATGCATTCACATTTTCTTTTTTCGTCAAACGTCGGACGAAACTCTTTTCCAGAATACGAGAATACGGCGTATATCATCCGATATCGTGTCGCGAGCACGCGTTTTTAGTGTAGTTGTAGCCTAAAGGGGGTTTACATTTTTAGACAAAGGTGCTCCCTTATCAATCCATGGTTGAGTAAGCCGTTTGAAAAAAAAGGAATACTCACTCATTAATGATGTCCCAGCTATAGCTGCGACACGAAAATTCGTCAGGAGAGTCTTCCATTTTGACCGCAGCGGTGGAACGTGCACTGTGATCCTATGCTTTTATATTATCTATGGACATAATTTCAAGTAAAATAAATGGCCATTATTCATAGTATTCTGATAATTTCAGCAACACTCGACAAGAAACATAGATACATAAATAAATTCGAGAACTCGACTAAACGACAGACGATTCAGTAGGCACTACGCGACTTTTTCAGAAGTAGCAATACCCAGTAATGGATAGAATTAACCATGGAATGAAAAATAAAATATACACAAACGTCGATAATCCGTTCCACGAGTCACGAGTAACGACAGAACGGTAACGGCTACCAACTAAAACCGTTCCTCAGCTGGGCTTGTTGAGAAGTCGCGTGTGCCACACAACTACACAAGCGTCTACAAAAGGAGGGAAAACACCAATGGCGGCAAGGTAGCCTTACTTTCTTATCATATTTTTACCGTCTCATCTCTTATCTTCACAAATATGTTAGAGAATTAACGAAAGTATGAAACTTGGAACTTTAAACATTAAAGTACCTATTATTCAAATATTATATTATTCTGTTTGTATTTTTATTTTTATTTTTTAGGAGTTGTATGAAATGAAAATTGAAATTGCGAAACTCATGAAACTTCTAACAATTAAATATCCACTCATAAAAATAATAAAATAATAAAGTAAAAACAAACTTATTAAAATGGTTAATGCTCGTAAATAAATAAAGTAAAAAAAATATATAAATATTAAATGTATATATGAAAATAAAAAAATAAATAAATGCGTCGTCTGGAGTGTTATGATAAATGTATTTTACGACCAGTTTCGAATTAAAAATTCATCAGGTATATTGTATATCACATTCAAAATGTTAAATATGAATAAAAATAAATACTAAACATTCATACCTAGTTGATAAAAATAATTAGTCAATAAAAATATTACAAATTTATAATAATTTACATTCATAGTCTATAACAGCAGTTCCCAAACTTTTTTCATTCAAGCCTCCTTAATAATAAAAAAAATTGTTCACGCCTCCCGCAATGAATATTTAATAAAACAGGTTAACAATTATTTAATATTTATTAGTTAACAGTTAACTTATTATTTTATTTTATACAAAATAATTAATGCGAACAATGCGCTTATTTTTCGTTTATTAATTATTCAAAATTAGGAATTAACGTAGGGAAAACCCGTAGGAAAACGTACAATTTCATTATTNACGTGGTAAAATTTCTAAAATCATCGGACGACTTTTTGTTTTAATAAACGTTTTGAAATCAAATTTAAACGAAAATCGCAAAAAAAAATACAGCACCTCAAATTATGTATTACCGAACTGCGCTCGGAATCATCTTTCGTCAAGCTTATCGTTGCTTACAGATATAAATGAAATAACCTTATGTATCCTACCTTCCTAACTTCTCACCTACAACAGTGGCCACTCCCATTCCCAGTATCAGCCCTTTTTTTTAATTGCCAAGGAGGGGAATTATAATCAAAAAATATAACTGTTGCTTTTATTTTGGCATGAGGAAACCCTCGCAATATTTTGTGTTGTATTACAATTTTTAAACCGCCACTTCCTTGATTGAGTTCCAGATACGCCGTTGCAATGCAGCAAACTGTTCACTGAAAATTACACCACCAAAACACGCCTATTATTAATTAATTAAATTTATTATACTCTATTAGCATTTATCAAATGTTTAAATCACGGACTCAGATATACAGGACTAGACACGAACATGGTTGAAGGGTATGGGGCGATGACTATGAAATGTTATGGAACGGGAGGCGTACGGAGGAATTAGCCTTTCTAACATTACTAGTGCCGTCTTAGTGAATACTTATGAAACTATAGATCACGGACTACGATATATATTACACAAATAACCAAATTATTAACTATTGTAGCTCCAGTATAATCCACACAGTAAATTCTATAAATACAACTACTGCCAGTCAATTAAATTACAAATACAAATTACCTACAATAAATTAATTACAGAAGTTACTAGTTTACAATCAGTCCAACCACCAGGAATATCAATATTCCAAACGTAAATCTAGAACAGAGCATTGATAAAAATAATACACAAATTGTAAGTATGTCTTTATATATGAATAATTTTTATTTTAATATCATTTTTGAAGCTTTGATAATTTTTTCTTTCTCCAACTACTTTGTTTCAGTTCTCTGTTATGAGTAATGTGTACTGTTTTATTCTCATAATCAGTGGCGTAGCAAGAATTATTCAATTGGAGAGGTTTGAAGTATGAATTATACTATTTATACTACTAGCTTTTTACAGTTTTATATTCTGAGTGGAGTGAGCAATGTATTGGTTTTACAATGTTTAATTATTTATTTTTTCTTATGGACACATTTTCTACCAGCAATTTCGCTCCGATTTATAATGATAAGACTTTTTCTAAAAGGAAATCTGACAGTAAGTATTTAAGGATATCATTTTTTGGTTTTCCCAGGAGTTTTCCCGATAAATTGGGGAAACCATTAAATAACATATAAAAAACGGAAAAATAGGTACAATATTAAACAAATATTACCAAAAAAAAAAAATATATATATACATAATGCATATTATACATTATTATTTAATACATTTAAAACCATTTTTAATTTTTTACCCCTATTCCATATATATTAAATAAGTTCATACTTTCGCTTTTCACCTTGGAACCCCACTTTTGAACACATATTTGAATATAAAATATTTTTCTAGAAATCTTCATATGCATAACACTAATATCAGATTTACCATTGAGTTATAACAGTTTAAAGTTTAGACTGAAGGAGTAGGGAAGGGTAATAAATTGCCTATCTATTCAAAGTGTATTTAAAATGTACATAATATTATAATGAAATATAAGTAACTGGACTATTTGATAAATGTAATAACTTTTTTTCTATTGAATATTTATAAGGTTTTTTTTTTTGTTTTTAAATTATTATGATATATCGGCGTTATAATTTTTATATTTTATATTTTATTATAATTTGTTGAAACTAAAAAAAAAATTTTAATTTTTCAATAGAATTTGTATTTATAATGACTAGCCATTTTAAAAAATTAATTTTTACAAAAATGTGTAGTGTTTCTAACTATCATGTAGAAAAATGAACAGTCATTAATTTTTAAACAATTTTTAAAGTTTATTAAATTCAAAAGTATTTCTTACTAATCAGTTACATCGATTGTCCATTTTGAATTATTTTTTGTCAACCGATACACATAACGTAGGTATGTAGTGAATAGTAAATATAAGTTTATATTATATAATTATAGTTTGTAATTATAATATTATAATTATTTCTTACGTAGTTTTACTCGATATAGGTATCTACATAATAATAATTCTTCAATAGTTTGTCAAATAATACTTAGTATTTTATGCATTTATTGTCTATACTAATTTATAACTAGGTAACTAAGAGAACGTGGACCTTTTTTAAATGCATCATATTCCAAGCTATTTTAATAAAAACTGTTTATACAGTAATGTTTGATTGTGACACGGAGTTTAATACAAAATTGGCCTGAACTTGAAGAGATGTTTTTCAACTATATTTTATAAAGAATAACTAACCTAATATTGATAAAGTATAAAAATATAATTAATTTAGTTAAATTGGTATTTATTTATTTTTGTAATACCTTGAGTGATAACACACATTGTAAATTATTGACTCTCAAAAAATGAAGAAACTGAAGAACGTTATTAGAGTATTTAACTTCAAAACATAAGAGCAGATGAATTCATTATATATCTACTAATAATATTAAATATTATGAGGTATAGGTAATATATTTTATATATTATTCATAATAATCAAATTTTATTTTAACTTATAGGTAGTTTCATAAATGTGGTCCAATTAATTAACTATTTTAAGTACTGTGATATACATTTCAGTAATGGATAGATTATGGTGATTTACAATTACATTATTATTGAAACAGCTTGCATCAGTCATACAAATTTTTCATCAATCATGTACTATCTTATACTTGTAAAATTGATTACCATAAAATCAAATAAAAAAAAACATTTATACTTACTGGATACATTTTATTGAATCATTAAATCAACTGTGATCCAATCATGAATTACTATTAAACTAAGTAAAAATAACACTAACATCAACATTCAAAAACGTAAGTTAATTAACTTAAATAATATTTATATTAACTATTTAATAATAATAAGTTGAAATTTTATTTTAGTTTATCAGTCGTTTTAAATAGCTGTGAATGTATTGATGTAATTTTTTTTTTCTGAAGTTAATACTTTCCGTGATAATATCCACTTAAATGGATCATCATGTATAATTTTATTGTCATCTTCGTATATTATTATTTTTTATTATTACAACAATATGTACAGTAGGTGTCGACCGGTCGATTTTCGCGTTGGGTACGAGTGCAGAATTTGGTCTCATCTCGCGTATATACGTGTAGGTAACACCATTATTATTATTGCGCGCATATATACCTACTTAATGGTCCGTATATTATAATAATAATAATAATAATAATAATAACAATAATATATAGGTAGGTACCCCGCAATGTGTGTATTGCATCCTCACGAGTTCGTGTTGTTTTGTTTTGTTTTTTTTCTTATATAAGGAAGTTCAATTGTGAACAATAAAATGAACATAATTGAAAATAAACTGCAACACTGACGCTGTAACCACCTACTCGTATTTTTCCCAGTCATTATTAGGTACACGTATGTTTTTCTTTTTTTTTTCTCAATGACGCAGTGTTTGCTAAATATTTACCGCTGACGGCTGTTCATCCTTGTTTGTCCCACATCGAAAGACCACCAGTGGCGGCCATTAGTCTTCCGGTGTTCGGCAGAAGGAGCTGCGCTTCTTGGTCAGAATACTGAACGAAATGGTGTAAAGTCTTTAGAAAATTAAGTGTTATTGAATGCAAATATACGAATTTTATTATAATATGTTAGGTGTAATAGAACCT